GGTTTTAAACACAGTTCGTATTTTAATACGAACTGTGTGGGATATTTGTTTAAAAATAAATATCCCATTGGACTTCACATGATATATTTTACCTTATATTGCAACTCCCTACATTTCCCAACTGTTTCACATGTGCTAGCCTGTTCCAGGCGTGTACAATTTCACTCACTCCCCACCATCTGAACGCGGCGCTCTACAACCTGAACGTCCGGAGCAGGCTACTCATGTGCTGAATCTGAAGTAAATGAGGGAGAACAAAAGATTTTAGCGGCACATTTGAAGTTCGACGTTTAAAATGAGTCCGCATAGAATAAAATAAAAATTATCTAAATACGAAAGAACAAAATGAAATACCTCCGGGAAGTCCGTTTTAATTGTCAGACAGAAGTTTCTTTTTTTACTTCTACTTGTCATGCACAAAGCTGTACCTAAGTAATAATAATTTGCAGAATTTGAACTTAATGTGTAGATATGAACTAACGTTTACCTCTCTCATTTCTTACATTGTACATGGAAGCATAGCATAACTGAAAATTTCCATACAAATTACGGCCTCAAGAACTCAGTTGCCTGCATGCACCTGATCAAAAAATTTGCATCGCACAGGCCAAAAATAATCATGGAAAAATGGTTCCCCAATACAACTATGGTCCTGTCACCGACTTAATATTCTAGAAAAACAATGACATCAAGGTCAAGTAAACTCCCAATTCCAAGTTCAGCTATTTTTCTTTATAACCTTTTCTTCTTGTCTCGTGCTGGATAAACAGTCGCAATTTTAGCTCTAACTGGAATATTGTCGGTATCCAGACCTGGGGTTTGACCACGAGTATCAAACTCGATTTTTACTTCAGGTCGAAATATAAGACAGTGCGTGGAACCACCATAGTGGAACATTCCGAGCTGGTCGCCCTTCTTGACTTTGTCCCCCTCTTTAACATTGATTTCGTTTGAAGAGACTTCTGCCATACCGATCGCTACGAAACACATCAAACCGATGTCAGGATTATCAGCCATTATGTAGATTATCCTTCGGGCAGCTACCTCTGCCAGGTATCCTTGAGACATTTTGGGTGATTTGGGGTCGTCCTGAATGTTATGGGTCTCCGAGTAATAAGAACCATCAACAAGTTCTGTTTTGTAAATGGTACCTGACACTGGGCTGTGCCATCGGTGATAGCTGGTGGCGCTAAGAAACCCTTGGTAGACGGTTCCACCATGAAATTTCTTGGCCAGGTCACTCTTGTTCAGCATGAAATACAAAGAGTACCGTTGTCTCTTAATCCAAAAGAAGTCCCTCTTTTTGACGCATGTAGCTATCTTGTAGGGCGCCGACTCACAGGCGTTTGCAACAATGTAATCATCGTCTGGAAATTCTACTGGACGAACTCCAGGACGAAACTCTCTGGTGAAAAAATCATCCCATGACTTGAAACCATAATGAGGGGCATCTGGATCGCATTTAAACTCCTCAACAAAGTTTGGCATTGCTTCCATTGCATCCTCACCAAACCAACCATGTCGAAGATGGTCAGTCAAGACATAGCGAGACGCTGGAGTTGACAGGAACTCTCCCCAATAATTGAGAATGTTCTTGAACAACCTGTTGACTTTGTCGTTCAGGAAGGCAGCAAATCCAGCGGTGGTAGCCATCGGCCAGTTCAAGATAGCTTTGATTGGAAAGCAAACCAATGCAGTTTTGTTAAACATTGGAGCTGTTGTCATGATGTGGTCGATTGTTATTATCATCAATTGCCAGGACGGAATTATTGTTCCTTCTGAAGAGTCTGGAAGATAATACTGTTGCCAAAACATTTGATGAAAGAACATGTAGATGGCGGGGTCGGTGAGAATAGCATTCTTCAAATCTTCGACCGGTTTATGGAGACGGAGGTGTTTATCTGTAATTTTAGTATCTGCAGATCAAAGTGCACACAGGGCTGTTTCGTTATCTTCAGCTTGTGGATGAAGAGCCAAAAGCATTTCTAACTTATCTTTGTATTTACATTGACACTCGTGGATCACGTTGGCCAGCCATTCGTCAGTAACGTTCCAGTCGGAAGGAAGCCATTGACCAAGACGAAAAGGCCTACTGCTTAAGGCGTGGAAAAAGAAAAACCAGCGTAAAAGACTTAACATCATCAGCGTGGGTACCCGTTATCAAGTGTGTCTACTTTCTTGGAAAATAATTATGAATATTAGCACATTCGCGTATTGATGAGTCGAGAATTATGCTTGCCGTATGCTCTCCAGGACGTTTTTTCGATTATGAGACAACGCTTGATGAATTTGTTATCCAGCTGATAACCATAATGAGGCTCATATTTAGGCTAGGTGGGAGCGATTTTTTCTCGGTTCGCTCCAATATAAATGCGTTCCGTACTTAACCAATCCCCGGAAAACCTACGTATTCGTAAAATATTACAGCGTTCGTATATGTAAACGTTCATCTTTCTATAAAAAACATTGTAAAATTATTATCTTGTAGAGGGCCACAAGTTCATTGGTTCTTCACTTTACTTCACTTTGCTACACTTCAGTTCACTTCACTGCAGTTGGGTTGGCTTAGACGACCACCCGTTCTTCTTCAGCTATTCACGTGGGCTTGGCACAACGCTTGAGCTGCCATCTTTTAATTCAGAAAGCATAAATCTTTTAATTTATGTGAAATAGTTCATGGGCTAGGCTTTGACAAATTGTGGTAGCATAATTTTTGGCATACTTTTGTCATCACAAGCATAATTTTTTTCCCCCAAAAAAACACTGCTGGAATAATTTGCACTTCTAGCTAAATTAAATTGTCATTTATTGATTATGCAGTCAATATTTTTGGCCCGAGATCAGTGTCCCAGGCACATTTATGTAACAAAGTCAATTTTTTTTCTCGGCTTTTTGTCACATTCATGGAACCTGGGTCTCAAAGAAATTGAACGAGGATATTATTTCTACAACACTCAACGCATGCGCAAAACTAGGTCAGGTGCCCAAGATGGCGCCCGCGTGCGTTGTAAAATCGTTTGAGATTACATAGTTGTCAGAACATGAATTATACACTCTTAAAGTGTCTTTTTACTTGTTTGAGACTTCTCCAGTGTTTGTTTGCCTTTTTTGTTAAAATGAGCATAGTTTTCAAAAACTAACTAGAAATATACGAGCACTACCAGCACTAGTAGCATATTATGCCACTTTTGCAAGCACAATCTATAAAAGCCAATATAAAAGCCTACCCTGGCTGTTTCGGTCGCATCGTCTACAACTAATAACTAACGAGGTAACGATCCAGGATAAACAATGGTAAATGGTATACTCGTGAAATTAGGGAATAATTTCACTTGCGTTTTGTTCAAATCGTAATAATTTTCCTGGCCTAAAGGCTCCGGAAATTAGAAGGATTTGGACAAAACACGCGTGAAATTATTCCCTTATTTCACTCGTCACCATTTGATTACACATACTAATGCACGTTAGTATTTTGAACAAGCAATTGCGCTCTTAGACGTCGATAACGTGGTTAAATAAATTATTATTGTTATTGTTGTTGTTAAGGTGTTAGGTAGCGTGGCCCCAACAAAATTCTAATGAGATAAGGAAATCTGATTATGATTCAAGTTTGGTAGCGAAGGTGAGAACTATCTTCAGGTTTAAATAAACGAACTTCGTTTACAGAAAAAGTTTATTCTCCCATTCCACAGCTGAATACATCTACTAAGGGAAGTTATTATTTCTATCTATCTAACTTGTTTCTATGTTTCTTAAGTAAGCTTGAAGTGGTGTTTCTTAACCCCAGTTAACCATGTAATTACGAAAAGCCTGTAACCACACATGATGTTTATTTCAATTGACCGTGCGTCCAACTTCTATTTTCTGATTGATCCCAACACCAAAGAGGTCGGTGCAAAAATCTTTATCCAAAGACTTAACTGACCAGCAAAGATTTGCTAGTGGAATCTAAAGTTTGTCCAGCTGTTCTGGCAACTTGTAAACACTCGTTTGTCCCTTAACAAAAGATGTTTGACATAGTGGAAATTTTGCTTTCAGACCTAAAAACTTTCCTTTTTAATTGTTTGGCTCTTGGGATCAATCCGCCATCTTGGCAATAACCATTCACACCACAAAACGACAGGTAACCCACGCTCAATGTTGGTAACACGCTAGGTATATATTATAAATTTGCGATGTTTGTATGGGGGTAAAGTTTCGATCTAAAAATAAATAATAAATGGGGAAAATTCCACGAAACTAAACTCCGCAGTAATTTGTTGCTGTCCTTAATGTTTACACGGAGTTTCGTGATATATTATCAAAATCCTCCATTCATCGGGAGCCCATAACCCGGAGCGAGCAACTCCCATACTTGGCCCATATCACGGCGTTTTTTCGGACTAGTTTATTTTTAGACACAGTTTAGGGCACTTTTCCCCCCGAAAATAGAATCACCACCATGTCTATCAGCGCATTCGAAGTATACGATATCATAAAGGAAAACTAAAAGTTATTAAAAGGCAGAAGATATCATTTTTTGGTCTGTAGGTTTTGTTGACTTGTGAACTTTAAAAGACATTCAAAATTCTCACCAAAACCGTTCTAAAAATAAACTGGTCCGTGAAAACGCCGTGAAACGAGCGCATGGAAGTTGTTCGCCTCGGGTTATGGGCTCATCCATTCATGCAATAAAAAACGCGAGCGACCGGATTTTTTTAACGGTAAATAAACAGCATAGAAATTGCTAACTGTAAGGAAGCCCATATCAGAAGTGACAATCAATGTCCTTTCCTCATTACGAGGAAAAAGACAGACAACTTACTCTCAACGGCTCCTGCTACAGAGAAATGGCTCAAGTAACAAATTTTGCAGAAAATAAAAGCCTGGAGAAATTGAACAGCGAATCGCTGTGCACGGCCGAGTTAACTGGAGAAGTAAAACATGAGCTAATATTTCTCTTGGCGGATTTGTTAACTTTTTTCACGGGCTATGTTTTTAGTGTGGTGTCTTTATTAACAATGACTGTAATAAGCGTGGTCAGACTTCTCGCCCTGTTACTGGGGCTGAGATACAGACAAGTTGTAACTTTGAAAAGAACACTCATGACCCTAATTTTTGCTTGGATTTTGCACATTTTGGGTATATTGGCTTACCTTTGGGATCCTATTGTGACGTCATGGTGCATCAAGGTAGCCGTGCCTGTTTGTCTCCTCACCTCATTTGTCTGTTACGTGAAGATTTTCTTCATTTTGCGTCATAACCAAATCTAAGTGCTGGACCACTTTCCTAAAAGACAGCAGAACCAACCAGTTCCGCTCAACATAGCGAGATACAGAAAGGCAGTGTCAGCTGCATTGTAGGTGCACATGACATTGGTTGTTTGTTACCTGCCGTTTTTTATAACCCAAGCTTTGACACCTCAGCGAGGGATGCCACTATCGGTTTACCTTGCAAAGGAATTTACCGGTACCTTAGTTCTTTTAAACTCCTCTTTAAACCCGTCGCTGTACTGTTGGAAGATTAGAGAAGTAAGGCAATCTGTGAAGGATACCATGAGAGAACTTTTATGTTCATCGCCAAATTAGATTGTTACATAGCTGGAGAATTTTTTCCCACATCGCGTGCTCTCATTGGTTACTTACAGGTCTCATGACATCTAACGATGAAACTTTTTTCCCGCCAAAATCTCTGAGAGGGCAACATTGTAAAATCTATTAAGTCAAAGGGTAACAGTGCAATGTGTCCCGCGAATGTTGACCAACGACCGCCGTTACAGCGAGGTTTATTAAATTTCCAGTCTCAAAATTTCCAGGGCTCCGCCTCGGGAAACATTGCGATTCTCGAGAAAGAAAATTGCCTGTTCCCTTCGAACTAGTCATTAAGTGTTTATTGTTAGATTTATTGACTACAGTCGGGCCTCCCTTAAGCGACCACTCAAAATGCGAAGATTTAGTGGTCACACAAGATTTAGTGGTGACACAATACAGGTGTGATGTGACAAAACCGCGCGGAGTATTTGTTATTAACCTCTCAGCCATATTCTGAAGACACTGTAGCTCATTGATATTATTTCATGAGAGACAGTAGAGTAAACTATTACAGTAATCGACGGGCCCCATTACCAGTGCATGAACCAAACATCTGGTTGAATCCAATGTTAAGTATTTCCTGATCTTTCTTATATAGTAGTAACCTGTACAACATGTTTTTGTAATTTGAGCATCAAACTTCAGACTTCGATCAAACAGAACTCTAAGATTTCGTGCAGTACTAGCAGGAGCAACGCTGATGTCAGCAACAGATAATTCTGCGACACTAACCCCTTCACGTTGTTGCCTACTTCCAGTGATCATAAATTCTGTTTTATCATCATTAAGTTTAAGTTTGTCAATCTACATCTAAGCGTTCTGATACAAAGCTCCATTGACTTAATGGCTTCCGATTGATTCACTTCATTAGGCTCAAACGATAGATAAAGTAGACAATCGTCAGCGTATGCATGCGCTTCAGGTAAATGAGGTTTTATTACCCCAAATAACTTACTAGAATAATACAAGGTGAAAAGTAAAGGCCCTAAACAAGAACCTTGTGGTACGCCAAAAGGCAGATTCAAGCTCTCCGACTGTTTTCCATTTACGATGACATGTTGTGAGCGACCAGACAAATATAACCTCAGCCACTGCAGTGCTGTGCCTATGATTCCGAAAGACATCTCAAGTCGAATCATGATATCATGATTCACGGTGTCAAAAGCTGAACTTAAATAACGTCTGCGACGCAGGCTACAGATGGCATGGAGATGTTTTCCGTTATGTGTGTTTTATCTCGATCTCTTGTTAGCCTTTACTTTGACGATGTATTTGATCCATAAAGTCATATTTATGTTTTAATGAATGGCTTTATTTTTGGCAAAAAAAACGTGAATCTTGAGCCATCCAAGATGAAAACAAAAGCTTATTGACGGCCCTACGATTGCTTAGTAGCGAAATTCCAGATGAAACAAAACACACAGCTCCCGAAATTAATGTACAAGCTGACAGGGAATGGACTCAAGCCAAATCATCGAAAAGAGCAAAACAATCAACCTCCAGTCTGAGTTCGAACAAAATCTATGATAAACCTGATGAAAATAAAGAAGCAGCTCATGCCTCTCCTCAAAAAAAAGAACACTCAGCTGAACAATCAGGTAATTACCTGACAATATTAAGAACACTAAAGATATTGTTGATCGGTGATTCTATGATTAAAGCGATTGAAGAGCAAAAATTCTCCAAGTCTCAGTCTGTTAAGAAGGATTTGTTCGAGGGGCGCCAAGATAACTGCAATTAAAGATCAGCTCATTACTGCGCTGCAGCACACTGCTTATGACAGTGTCATAATTAACGCTGGAACGAACGATTTGAATGAATATCAGCCTGAAGATGCAATAAAGGGTTTAACTGAAGTGGCAGAGGAAGCGATTAAAATAAGACCTTCGATCAAGGTGTCGGTTTCGGGGTTAATAAGCCAGAGAGACGAAAATACAAATGAGAAGATTATGCATATAAATCACACGATGAAAGATGTCTGCGCCTCCAGGAGCTGGTTGTTTATTGATAATGCCCGCATCAAAGTTGAACACCTAACGAACAAAGGTATCCACTTGAACGGTGACGGCGTGAAACTCCTAGCCTCGAGTTTTATAAGGCAGGCATTGAAAGCAAAGATCAAAGCAGGAAAAAACAAGCGAAAGCCGGACCCTCTTTGGTTGCTAGCACAAACTCTGAACAAGATAATTCGGACCTCGTCGGCAAGTTAGATTCAGAGGGTCATTTCACATACGGCTCGTCTCCGTTAAATGCTGATCTGTTAAGTGAATTATCCAGAAATAGGGGTTTTAAGTTAGCTGCCCTTAACATTACTAGTATTCCCGGCCATATCGAGGAATTGCGGATTTATATGAATTTGAAATGTACTGATATTCTTGCGGTTAATGAAACTGGTCTCGATGATACTATATCTAGTGGCGAAGTTACAGTACCAGGCTATGCCCTGGAGAAAAATGATAGAAACAGAGACGGAGGGGGTGTCTCGCTTTACATCCGGAATACTATCAATTATGAACGATTATTTGATTTCGAGTGGAAAGCTTCGAGTGGATTGGCATTAAGGTAATCAAACCCAAGGCTAAATCTTTCATTGTGAGTACGTGGTATAGAACACCACGTTCTAATGTAGACGCAATGAAGGATTTTAAACTTCTCGTTCAGCGAATCGAATCGCTGGGACTAGAGGTAAATATTTTGGGGGATTTAAATTGTAATGTGGCTGCCTGCCCACCAGAATCACATACAAAGAATCTCCTGGAAATTAATGCAACCTTTACCAATACCACTAGCTGATAAATGAACATACCCGAATCACTGAAAAATCCGCGACTACTATTGATTTATTCCTAACAAATAACAAGGAAATTTTTACACATTCTGGGTCTGTCACATCGGAATAAGTGACCAACGGGAAACCAAAGATCGCGGAGTCGCGACAATTTAGGAATTTTGATGCTAATTCATTCCACGCTGACATTAACCAAGCACCTTGGCACTTAGTTCACCTGGAAGATAATCCAAATCGTGCCTGGGAAATTTGGTCACGTCTGTTTTTAGAAATATGTGACTTCCATGCACCAAAACGTACAAGGAAAGTAAGAAATAATTATACTCCCTGGCTAACACCAGAGATAAAAAGGTTGATGTTTGAGAGTGACAAACTGAAAAGGGCTGCAATTATCGACCATTCAGATGCTCATTGGACCGAGTATAAGATTGCTCCAAACAATGTCAGGTCATCTGCGAAAATACTGTCCATTGTAGTTGTGTCATTATTTGTTTGGCTTGTCTAACCGTGGAGAGCTTTAAAAAACTCTTCACGGTTAGGGCGTTCCGCACCGTCGATCAAAAAGGCACGGGTAATTTGGCTCATTATTATTATTATTATTATTATTATTATTATTATTATTATTATTCAACACGGATACCGCTCTTGAGCTTTAGCAGTTGGCTCTATAACGAGTATCGACATCATAACGTTTTGAGTTCATGGCTCAAATTCCTACCAAAGTTTACTCAACTTCCAAAGCATCTTCGGTTATAGTTAGCTGCCCAAATAGACCAATTTAGGATGCAGGCGCCTGCTTGTCGGAGAATGTTATCTCTCTATCCATTAATTTTTTCAGTATTTTTTCCCACCGTCAAGGTCAAATGGCAATTTTTAAGTTTTTTTTGTTAAACAAGCACATCAATTCATCATAGTAAATTTAGTCAATCCGATAAAGTTTTGAAAAAATAGACCTTGAACCTTCACAAATATACCAAGAAATATATCCGCTGGGACATTACTATATTTCCCTGGTATTCATCTGCTTGAGCCTAAGATTTTCGTCAGTTTGCAACGAATACCTAAGAAACTAAAACTTGCCAGGCTCACTAAAATTCAGCATGATAATTCGATCCATGAAACCATATTTGTGTTTCAATGAAAGGTTTTAAAACATGATTTTTTTTGGAAGAAAGGTCCACATCACCTCCTATGAGTGTTGCTTATAAGAAACACTGCATCTCATGCTTGACACATGACATGACAATTGCTAGGTTTTAAACACAGTTCGTATTTTAATACGAACTGTGTGGGATATTTGTTTAAAAATAAATATCCCATTGGACTTCACATGATATATTTTACCTTATATTGCAACTCCCTACATTTCCCAACTGTTTCACATGTGCTAGCCTGTTCCAGGCGTGTACAATTTCACTCGCTCCTCACCATCTGAACGCGGCGCTCTACAACCTGAACGCCCGGAGCAGGCTACTCATGTGCTGAATCTGAAGTAAATGAGGGAGAACAAAAGATTTTAGCGGCACATTTGAAGTTCGACGTTTAAAATGAGTCGGCATAGAATAAAATAAAAATTATCTAAATACGAAAGAAAAAAATGAAATACCTCAGGGAAGTCCGTTTTAATTATCAGACTGAAGTTTTTTTTTACTTCTACTTGTCATGCACAAAGCTATACCTAAGTAATAATAATTTGTAGAATTTGATCTTAATGTGTAAAATATGAAGTAACGTTTACCTCTCTCATTTCTTACATTGTACATGGAAGCATAGCATAACTGAAAATTTCCATACAAATTACGGCCTCAAGAACTCAGTTGCCTGCATGCACCTGATCAAAAAATTTGCATCGCACAGGCCAAAAATAATCATGGAAAAATGCTTCAAATATAATTATGGTCCTGTGACCGCTTTAATATTCTAGAAAAACAATGACATCAAGGTCAAGTAAACTCCAAATTCCAAGTTCAGCTATTTTTCTTTA